CAGAAGAAATCAGTATGCTATGGGTTCTTCATAGTCCACAAAGGCGGATAATTGGGGGAGGGGAGGGGGGTATGGGAATGCTCGAGCACCTCCTGAGCGAAGAAAAATGCACCCCTCACTGGCAGAAGCACCCCAAAATCTGCAAGTCTACACAAAAATATTTCACATTCTAAGTTTAAGAAAAATATCCAAAAAGCATGTCATTTTTAATCAGCAGTAAGCAATAACTGTATGAAGCATTTAATGTAAGCATGCACCCACTAGATATCACAGTTACACATTATGCACGATGAAAATGATTATTATTAATCAAGCCTTTATCATTGTCCAACTGCCCTGGTTTTTATTTGCAAAAGAATTATGCCTCAAGATGCTGGTTTTTTACCCGCTCTGGTGTCATCCCCAGCCTGAAAAACAGCAGTATTCGACGAGATGTGGGGAATAAGTAGCAATTTTTGAACAAACTTCACATTAAGCAGGGCACAATTACCTTCTCCGTGTGCGCTTTGGCTCTACGATTTAAAAAAAAGAATGATGTATTGTTGGTTTCACGGCTGTAGCACATGTGCATACGAGGGGGTATCGAAAAGTTCTGATCATCACCATGAATTAGATGTGATAGAAATTTGATTTTTTTACATGATGTTCATTACTCCCTTACAAGTCACCACACACGACCGCAAACTTATTGCATCGTTTCTTGAGATGCCTCAGGCGGTCATTGTAGGACCTTCGCCTTGTCCCGTAAATCACTGCTCCACCTCATCAATGACGTCATTTCTGGGCCTTTAATCACCGGCCATACTGTGGATTCTTCATCTCCTGTGACAATTAAGAGTCAGTTAATACCCGGTCAGGTGAATTTCTTAGATGCGGTAGGATTTAATGTCCACATCATGTTGATTCTTAAATCGCAGCTCAGGACGAATGGGCGGGGGCGCTGTCGGTGCGGATAAAAAATCTTTCTTGGGCTTTTTTTGCGGCGATTCTGCTTGAGGCCATCTCGCAACTTCTTCAAAAGTGTGCAGTAGTGCTTGCTTATCATTATCCGACCATCATCAAGACAGTCGGTAATGACTATCCTACGCCAGATCCAGAACACTGATAGCATTGACCTTCCATATCGGCTTCTGCATCTTCGCCCTTTATGAAGAACAGATGTGCCGTGCTTAAACTTCTTGATCATCTTTTTGTCTCTGGATCATACACATAGACCCAGCATTCGTCACAAGTCATTAAATGATCGAAGATGTCTTCAATTTCCTAAAAAAAGCCTAGTTTTCATTTCGAAAGGTCAAGACGCATTTTTCTCTTGAACAAAGTAGACACACGAACTTCTAAGCGGGCTGACTCCTTTATCGTCTGTCGTTCTTCGCCGATAATATTTTCAGGCACTGCCAGCATTGAGACCTTTCTGTTGCACAATCATTTGAAAGGTCACACGACGATCTGTAAGGATGAGGTCCTCCACTTCCTTCACAGTCACCACCTTGTCAGTCACTGGTAGTCACTCACTTCTTGACTCCCCTGCAAGGGTCATGCAACCAAAATGAAAATTATTTTTTTCATTTTCGGTAAGTGCATTAGATGGGCTTTCCTAGCTATAAACTAATTTCACGTTCTTGATGTATTTTCTCAGTGTGATACCGTTTCAAATGCATTAGTTGGATGACGGTTCGGTCCTCAATGGGCCCAATACTCATCTTTTTTACTTCTAAGTCTCTCCTAGATAAGATAAAACCACTTCTCAGGATTCTCTTTGCGGGAACATTGTTCTTAAGAACCAAATATAATACCAACCAAAAATCATCAAAATCGGTCTAAATCTTCTATGTGATGATCAGAACTTTTCGATACCCCCTCGTAAGTGGCCTGCGCCATAATCGTTGCAATGGCGCAGTGATACCTAATTTGTTGTTCCCGCCATATGAAAGTTTTCCTTAATCAGGAAAAGGCAATTTTCATGCATTTGGTATTTTGTATTTTTTTTTTTGTAAAAGCTGGCAGTGGCTTCATTTTGACTTTATTTACTTGCCTTTTTGTGATATATTACATTTAAAAAGTGAATAATTTTTATTTAGAAGATATTGTTGTCTAAACATTGCAGAAACGTGCATGCTCGTCAATCTAGCAGTGGATTAATATTCGCTAATCTGCTGCTGGTAGACACAAGACCAGCATTCACGGTTTCCGAATGTGCTGCTTTTGGCATGAAATAAAAGTTAGCCTATTCTAAGCCCAGACTAACTTTGTTCCTCCTAACTCCAAATTCGGTCCAAAGTTTGATATAATAACTATGCAAGGAAAAATTTTCACATCCACTCTCAGAGACAATGCATGGTCTTCAGGACGGTGCAAGCATGGTTTCCATCCTGCTGAAACCACTGCTGTTTGATGGTGTCGGCATAGCTGCGCTGCGGCGAGCGGAAGAACCACTGGAGGATCCTCGGCCACCTCTTTTGGTTTATCGTCACAGAATTTCCGCTATCGTCTTCAGGACCTCGAAGAACAGGGAGCCAAGATATGCATGCCCTGTACGCACATTACACTTTTTTTCTGGCGTCTTGCCGGTTGCGACGAAACTATGAACGAGTTCAGAGATAGGGTAAGATGATAGGGTCTTCTTAGGGCCGAAAACTGAGCGGTATTTACGCTTTGTTCCAATGACGGACCCTCTCTTCGAGTCGAAATTCGACCACTTCAGTTTTCTGCTTACCTACTGTTCGGTGTAGTCATCATCAAAAAGAGGAAAGATCCTTCCTCGCTGCATGAATGTTGGAAGACGTCACCCCCTCGGCTCTTAACCTTCCAGGCGGTGGGGGGCATTTTTTTGCCCCCTTTAGTTTTTTCAATATATCTCGAGAACCGCTGCGCCGGTCGTCACCAAACTTTCAGTACCCTCCCGGGAGCAGCTAGCGCACATGGTGACCAAAATTTTTTTCCAAAGGCTATGATAGGTTTGCCGCTAATGACGTCAGAGTGACGTCATTTTTGCCATTTTCGACCCAAAAAAGGTTTCGCGGGAAGAGCTGTCAGGCCTACAGCTTTAGAGACACAGAAAAATGCTTCAGACATAGAAGGTGTGGAATCAAAAGGGCCACAAAACTGCTATTTCAGTTTTTCGAATTTTTTGAATTTTGACCCCCAAAAATAAAAAATAGATTTTTTGAATATAATAGCAAAAAAAAAATCCAGTTTTTTGAATTTCGAAAAAAAACGGAATATATGTGATAGTCCCTACCGCCTTTTATCTACATACCAAATTTGAGATCGATACCTCTTTTTTTTGGCCAAGTTATAGCGAAAAAACTGTTCAAAATTGATGACGTCAAATTTTCAAACTCAATTTTTAGCAATTCTAGACCTCGTAGCGCAAAACAAAGACCACCATTAGACTCCCCGTGACGAGCTGCATCGAATCGATACCCATTTTATGCAAAAATATCAACTTTGAAATTTGACTTTTTTTACCTGATCTTGACCTGACCTCCACCAGAAAGTGACCTAAACCGTACCTGATGGTCTTATAACCAACACCATTGAGTTAGAAATGAAAAACTGGCCATAAAACATGCATCGCATAACCTTAGTAAAGTTGGGTTCATGTGGTGACCTTTGGTGACCTGACCTGTGACCTGACCTGGTATGACCAGTGACCTCTAATAGCAACATATGTACTAGACAACTGACGCCTTATCGCTGATTTTCGACAAAATGCGTTTTACTCGATGTTATAGCGCTTTCCCTAGAAGCCCCGTGAACGGTGAAACATTTTATCTTTGACCTGACCTGTGACGTCATCGGTGACCCCGAGGTCAATGAAATTTGGTTTCTTTCGACAAATTTGACAGGGCTATCGAACGCCGTTTGAATTTTCCGGATCCGTCCAGTAGTTTCGGAGATACGGGGGGGGGGGGCAAAAAATGCCCCCCCCCCATCGCGCGGAAGGTGGCTGGTAGGCCCACCGCCTGCCGGGTTAAGTTGGGGGCAATCGCCCTCGCTGCCCCCTGTTCCCGGGTCTATGAGCTGATTGGCAAGGCGATATACGAGCTGATTGGCGTTTCCACCCGAGCTTGAGCATGATAGGGTCTGTTCCAGTGGTTGCTCAAACCTCCTCTTAGCTCTTATAGCCAGTAAAGGCTTTCAACACCATTAGCGTCGCCACGGGGGGGGGGGGGGCAAGCGGGGCAGTTTGCCTCCCCCAACCTCCGACCGAGTACCCCCTGAGATGGATGTAGATCCGAAGAGATTTTGGAGTTGGCAAAAATGGGGGTAGTTTTCGAGAATGGCTGTAAACTCCACACCAACTTTGAAAACGTTTCTACACCCATGCTCAACGGTTGGCTTTGACTGGCGATTGTTTAATGCGAAGTGATTGAAAAGAAGATGTCAATAGCTAAAGTTGCAGCTGCAAGGGTGACGATACATATAAGCTACATTCAAAGTTTCATTGTAGTCTGGCTAATCGTTCCTAAGCTTCAGAAGCAGAACATAGGGTAGTGAGCCTAAAATGAGTATAGTTTTACATTATCAGTTAAATATATTCAAAACTAGAAAGGGTGTGAATAATGGCTATATGGGACATTGACATTACGTGTTCTGACTACGACGTCCTATGTGGCACAACGGTGTCAGACGAGCGGTTGTTCTGTAATAATTACATCTTCTGACCAATGTCGGCTATACTCATTTTTTGCTCCTTCGCAAAAAATGAGTACAGTTGTTTCAACGCTCTATTGTGCCTAATCTGCTGGATTTGCGACGCTGAAATTCGCCTGGAACGTGGATATGAAATCGGTGTTGCTAACAATATAAGTATTGAAATGTAGAAAAATCAAGAAAATGTATTACCGGTCGTTTCAATTTATTAAGACACATAGATGACTTCAGCAGACAACAACAAACACAACCGACAATGGCCACAACACCAACCACGGTCACAGTGGCGTGGCGAACGGGCACCGCCACATTTCCAAAAGCCTGCGTGAGCTTTACCCCCTCTACTTCGATCGAGTCGTCAGTTTGGTCACTTTTCGCTTCGCGGATGGCTTCTCGATCTTGTGCGACGAAGACCGCTTCTTTCCCTTCTCTTCGCGTTTCTTGGAGAGTTTCCTGTCCTGCTGTGACGACGGAGACTTCTTCCCTTTCTCTGCGCGCTTCGCCGCCTCCAGCTCGAGCCTCTGCAGAGAAGACTCTGACGTCAAGACCTCGCCGCTCTTGTTTTGAACTCGGCTGCGGCGTTTCGTCTTGTTGGCCAGGGCCGCCTTCGTCTCACTTGACTGTTCCGGACTGAGAACACTGAGTACAGCATCCTGGAGCGCCTCATCAGGTGACAGGATGTCATCACGTGACGTGCTCGCGGGTCCCACCATCCGGCTGCGAACCTTCTCAGCGTCGACTGGGAACAGACCCGAGCCGCGGAATCCGGCCACGGCGTGGACCGGATCCAGTTCCTTCCACAGCTGGGAGATGAGAGTCGGGAACACCGACTTGTCGACAGCGACGAGTCGTGACTCACGCTGCCACCGCTTCAGGATTTGCGCCCAGGCGACCTTGACCGGCTTGAACACGGCGACGTCGAGAGGCTGGATGGCGTGACTGGTGTGTGGCGGAAGACATACCACCGTGATGTTGTTGTCCTTCGCAAGCGCTGCTGTCCGATACGTCATGTGGGATCCGTGACCGTCATAGACGAGCACTGTGGGCTGACCATCATGCTTCTTGGTGATCTCTGGGACGAAGATGGTCTGGAACCAGCTCTCGAATATGTTGCCCTCCATCCAGCCTGACGGTGTCGTCCCATAGGCCGTTCCTGGCGGTCCGCCACGCATCCACGAGTCAAAGGGCTCACGTTTGGCCTTGTAGACGACGAAGGGTGGGAAGTAGTTTCCAGTGGCGTTCACGCAGAAGAGGACGCTGTATGTCGCCTTACCACAGCTGGCCGTCTTCAGGTAGGCGTCACGGGACTTGCTGGGGACGATGACCCTTGTCGAGCGCGGATCGGTCGAGAGTCCCGTCTCATCGAGGTTGTGTAGATGTTGTCCGGCTTGTCCTCGAGTCCCAGGTCGACGAGCACCCCGTTGTACAGTAGGTCTACTAAAAAAGTCCCCCGCTCCAGAGGCGGCCGGCCGGCCGAACCCCCGGATTCCAGCCCCGACTCTATTGCGCAGGCCGCGGCAGTGACACGGGTCAGGTCGCGGCGCCCGGCGAGTGGGTCAGTTGGCGGCGGCCGGCCGTGGAGTGAGGACGCCGTGTGTGGGGCGCAGAGATGCCGCAGTGCAGAGGAGGGGAAGATAATGACTGCACGATGCCGGAAATGATGCCTTTGTGATCTAAATTAAACACCTTCAGCAGTGCATATCCTCCCTTGCCCCAATCCTATTTTATCATAATCCATCAATAATCCGTAATGGCCATTCAACGCAAGCAAGCAAACAAAACAACCCGTTTAGCGGCGACATCATCTCGGATAAAAAAGTGACAGTGATGATTAGAATAGGCTTCGCGCGAGGGCAAATCGAGGGGTATAACTATATACATCACATACCGAGTATTTTATTCCCATCTAGCGAATCAAGATTGGGGATATTGTCCAACAAGTCAGCGGCCGTTCTAGACGCAGATAAATGCTTTGTTTTCGGTCGCATCATTATCCGCAATAATTCGAAGCGAGGTTTAAAGGTAGTGTGCCAGCTTTCCTGGACTGTATGGAGTTAATGGCCCAGATAAGGAGAACTGGATTTTTAGAACTTATCCATACCTTCAAAACTCATGGAAACGTCTTAAATTCTTCAAATTTTGAGTACCCCAGTGCGAAATCCGCCCCGACGGGTTGTCGGTCGTACCCCAACCACATTTCACACCACTATGAACAATAAATGCACACACTGAAATCGCTATTACCGATATGCTCATCCAATCAAGTTTCGATAAACCCGTTCATCATCAGCTCCTGCGGTTTCGAACACGCCTGTTAGGTGGTGCGGTAGACCGCGCCCAAAGCCAGGGCCCCGGTAACGTGAGGTAGCCGAGTCAGGGCAGCGTGCGCTGACCCAAGCCGGAGCCGCGCGTCCTCCCGGTGTCATGTGATAGCCCGGGGCTGCCCGCGGGGATGCGGTAGACCGCGCCCAAAGCTGCGGCCCCGGCTTGGGTCAGCGCACGCTGCCCCGACTCGGCTACCTCACGTTACCGGGGCCCTGGCTTTGGGCGCGGCTTCTGCTCATACTTTGTGGTGCGGTGGTGGTGCGTCGGGCTGCGCGCTCTGACTTCGGCCAAGAAAAATGCGTCAGCTGATCATTGTCATTTCTGCCACTTGCGTGTGGTGAAATGGGGTCATAACTTATGAGACGGCTTTTTTTATATCAATTATTTTACATAAAATCATATTTCAAACCATAAATAATGTTCGACAGCCAAATAAAAGAAACAATACCAATACAGGCTTACAGTTTAAGGCTCGACATTGTGTTGTCTACGATTAGACAGCTGATAACTCATTCCCGTACGTCGTATGGTCGTAACACTATAATGACCTTTGCTTATTGTCACATGTGCGCCGCATTCGCGATTGTTGCCGACGCCTGTTTGCAGGTGAGCCCACTACAGTTGTTATACATATCTAAAAACCGATAAACTTTTAGGCGAAAAAGGCACTATTCCAGGCCCATTTTTGATTTTTTTTGCGATATTAGGTAAAAACAGAAGCTTCTTATCCTAGGAAAAATAAAATGGGAAATCTTTCAAAGGTGGCACACTACCTTTAACCCTCGCCGGCCGAGAGGAAGGGGTGGATGCCGCCACCATGCATTTTTTTTTTTTTGCGGTAGCTCAAAGCACACTGATGATAGAAGGCTGACATTTCACATGCCTTACATTTCATTCAAGCCGGATCACTTGACATCAACCACGTTTTCAGGTCAGGTCACTTAACTTATAACTATGACGTCTTAAGTAAACCTCTGCACGGTTGTCGGTTATAAAATGATGCCATCCGCAATGCACTTAGTGTCATTTGGGGAATTATGGAAACTGTTAATTTGGCGTCGGAAATAATCTGAAACTATACCTCAAGCACATGAAATCGTGACTTCATTCATTCTTGGCAAGGTCTAATGCTTCACTTTTGCATTGTTCACCTTGCGTGACGTCATTTATGACGTCACTAGGGTCATAGGAGTGCTTCGTCAATAACTCCCGATCAAAATGAGCTAGCCAGTCGGGACAGCCATCAATGGACTTTGTAAGACTTGCCGAATCAAATGTTATGCAACATGTCCTCCTTTCAACAGCTTCGTGACCTGCGTTGCCCTAACATGACATTGACCTGAGGAAAACATCCTAAATTGCTTCACCGAAACAAAAAAGCATATAAATCGACGCGTCTGAGAACAGAAAACACGATTGCATCGAAATGACGATAATGCGTTTAGCTATTAACCAAAAACCGATCAAATGCCTTGTGGCCCTTGACCTGCCCTAAGACGTCATTGATATTTTAAAGTGACCATCCCACCTTAACATTAGTTTTGAGTTGAGATAGCCAAATTGGTGGCCATGGCCTGCAAATAACGGTTTGGGCACTCACAACATCGAAAAATGCTTTAATTCGGAGAAATGGAATTTCAATTCAAACTTGCAATTTTCGGATTCTAAGGGGCTAATGAATTGGAATGCCCCTTAGAATTTCTGACGTCAGCGGAGATCTAACGATTTTAAATCTTTGACTAAAACGTTTGGTAGCACGCGGTGGTATACGCTGCTTTCCGCGCAACAAGTGCCGCACTTTCAAATAAAGTCGCTAGGAACAGCGGAGATGCCAAAAAGTAAACAAAAGTAAAGGTCTAATATCTTGAAAACCGGTGAATATTTTTCGATGAAATTTGGTAGATATTCGTTTTTGCTCTTTCTGAACCGAGCGACATCACTTTCATGCCAATTCATTAACATTTTTGAAGGTGGGAGGGTCCCTTTAAAATGGGGTACCGGTCGCTGCGTCACGTAACGAAGCAAGCGCTCGTTTTTTTTTCCGCGAGGCTCTAGCAGCTAGCTCAATTATAGGAGCTAAACATGGGGTCGGGGAATCGCTCCCTTCTCACTCACTATTTGGCCGGGATAGTGTTTGCAATTATTGTTAAAATCTAGCATTTTAAGATTTCAAATGACCCATTTTTCCCGCCCAAGTCTTTCAATTCAAGGTCATAACACCAGGTCACGTCAAGTGACCTTACCTCAAGGAAAGTTCCTGTGCTCATCATATCTAAATACACCGACTAACCGATCGCTTCAGAACTTTCAGCGATCTTAATGGGCAACAGTATATGTATTTGAAACGTTTACTTTGCAAGTTTGGCATTGTTGACAGAAAGGCCGGGTCAATTTTGAGATCGCTTAAGTCAATGGGAGAAAATTGAACTGCGCTTTTTTACGGGACGCATAATAAACACTCTTAAAACATGTGGTGCTTGATGAGATACAATACTGAATGAGAAAATTGTTTGTTTTGTTGGGGGCCATCTCGTTCGGTCTGAAAAGGCCCTTGCAGAGCTATGACATACATATTATATAACCATGCTCTGGTGTAGTAATTGGGTTGTGCGAGCCAGCGACAGTGATCTGCGGAAGCGAGACTGTTCCCGTGGGACGATTGCCCTGTCGGGACGGTCCAGCCGTCTCCCAAACGGTCACCCGAAGAGGATTATGTGTCCTGGAATGGATCCGACATCAACTACAGGTTGGCTGGTGGGGTGACCTCCAGTCCAGAGAGGGAAGCATGAAGACAAGGGGCGATGCGGATTGGTTTTTCCTGAGGATAGCGAGGACGGAAGGAATCTAGCACCCTTGAACCTTCCTTATACTGAGTGTATATATCTGAGGCTGTTAAATCTACTAAGCGTTTTTTTTCTCGACATCGTCAAGGTGTCATTAACAAAAATATGAAATCCGGGAGGATAAATTAAATATAGAAATTGTGGCCAACAGAACATTATCAGTTGCGTTCAACATACTCGTAAGCATGTTCACACACCCATCTTACATATGAGCCATGTAATAATTATTTTTGATAGACATGCTTAAGTTATGAAATCATCTGAAGTGTTTGTAAAGTTCCACGATACGGATCTAATATCCTGCTATGCATTATGACCATTTCTGGTCAGGTCATGTCTTTGAACATAGGCCAAGCTAGGGTTACCCGCGTGCTCCGCAACGCGAAGAAGGGTTATTTTTTTACCCGTGGGTATTGGGTTGGTCTGTGTCAATTTGGTTGGTAGATATCCATTTCGTTCGATTGCTTTTTGACGGCCAAGCATTTTGTAAGAAAACAAAAAGATACATCGCATCGAGTGCCCGTGTTGTATTATCATGCGTTGCGTTCTACTTTAGAATGATTCGAAAACTGGCGTGAAGTCTTTTGAGGGCCATCGATGAATTTCGCTAAAAATGACAATGTAATGGTTTGGAACATTTACATTTTTAAGAATACTGTTGCTCATCATGCAAAAATGAAGAGTGAATATTGGACAAAATTTAATGCTCTATCCAATGGTACCATATTCAATTGCCAAAGGTATCAGGTTATGCAGCAAAACCCGTGTAATTAATAAAGTGGCACATCATTGACAAACACCATTTTCTCCCGTGATTTGCACCACCTTGATTTGGATCAATCAGCTTTTCACAATTTTTATATGAGAGGCGGTACATTTATCTTGCCAACAGGCGCTGTTCCAACTCGCTCCGTTTAACGGTCACCTAAAAATAAAATCAATTCCAAAATCCTTCAAAAACCGCATTTTTTTTCAACAAAACTGCCCTCCACGGTGCACGTGGCGCGTGCCATCCCCTGCATCGCACACCATTCGATAGCCCGTTCAATTATTTACACGATACCGTTTTCCCACTGCCGATCGGACCCCTGGTCACCAAGATATCGCACCTGGACCGGACCCGTGTCGGCCAAAATTAGCCGTTTTCGCCCGATTTCGCACGCCGATTTATACATGTAAAGTCTATGACGCGAATTTGCACTTTTTGAGCACGCGCCTCGCGCTCCCTATCAATCCGATCGAGCTGAGACCCCTCAAAGGCACGTCGCGCATCCTTGATCTATAAGTTGTGCAAGTTTCACCGCGCTAGGTGCAACGGTCTGGCCTGTAGTCCACGCAAAGCACCATCAAGTCGGGACCTCGGTAACGGACAGACGCACCCTCCTCAAATAGTAGTATAGTAGATTTTTCAAATGACCTTTAAAGATCAACTTTTGATTCATTCGAAGCGTTTTGATAAGAGGAACACGAGGCTGGTAAAATTAATTTCATGCAAGTTTTAAGCTAAAAACTTTTAAGTGTTTGTGGAAAAGCAATTGGTTTTCTCATAATACCAATGGTGGCAGTTGTTGTTATTTACATGCTAATCACCTTAATTAATTCTGGCAATATTATTCAGACATAGCGGTAAACGAGCTGATTGTTGTGTTAGGTTAGGCTCTTTCGGTCGATTTCAGAGTGGGAAGGATGACAGGAATTAGGGGGAGACAGGGGGCCTGGGCGGGAGTCCTGGCCCTCATGCTCCGCTGGGGCCGAGCCCATCACGTGGGTTGGATTGCCCTGACACATGGATAGCCCTGGGCGGTGTTTCACGGCCCTGCGCTGCAGCACGCTGCGCTGCGCTGCTGCATTGTTGCGGCGGATGATAAGAATTCGGCTCCACGTTGCGAGCCTCCGAGTCTGTTGATGTTTGCATGGAAATTGGAAACCCAATGCACCGGTGCGCGCAACGCGCCCTGTCCAAGCAAAATGTTATCACCGATGACCTCTAGTGACATGACTTCTGGCTATGACCCGATCCAAAATTGGCTGAAGTATTTTTTCTTCTTTTTGCTTCTTTTGACGCTACTTCGAATACCACTCAAATGCCCAAAGCTGAGTTATAAGAATGATGCTCAATCCCCATTTCCCCTCCAACAGGGCGTGAGTGTCTAGGCATTCCTGTGGGGCACGGGCTAACAATGACTATCTCATAATCATTGTGGCCATGAACATCTACTGCCATTCTTTAACACCGGTTTCGCTGCGCTGAGCGGTGGCCGCCCCGTTTGTTGGATCCTACAGCTGGCTGGCGGAAAGCGTTACCGGCCGCCCGTCCACCGCCCGCGGGCCGGACCGAGCGGTCCCGCTGACCCTACCTGACCTGAGCCCGGCGCGATATGGGACAGGCAGACGGGGGTTCGGCTCAGCGAAGGCAGCGCCCACTGGTGCTGGGGACTTTTTTAATAGACCTACTGTACATGGAGAAGGCGCCAACCACTTCCTCTGTCAGAGACTTGGCACGAGTGATGGTGAGGATCTCCGGTTTGCGCGACGCGAGGACACCGGCGTGACGAGCCTTGAAACGTGACAGCCAGAAGCGGGTGGGCCTGTTGTCCTTCCACTGCGTCTCTCTGCCGAGGTTGTTCAGGAACTGCTGGACCAGATCGCAGATGTCACTGGTGTCCAGTGGAAATGCTTGGCGGGCGAGGTAAGCGAGGATTTCCACCAGCTTGTCCTCTTCGGTCCTCGTCAGCACCGTCGGTCGCCCAGAGCCAGTGGAGCCGGTGACGTTGATGCCGAAGATGTGACGGCGGAGCGTCTCGTACGGCACGCCGGTGTCCTTGGCTGCCTTGTAGACGGTGAATCCATCCGCGACGAGCTTCTTCGCTCTGCCCAGATCTTCCTCCGTGTATTTCGGCATGACGATTGGTGCCACCTGACAAAAAAGAGGTCATTGTTTAATAATTCGTGCCAGGAATGTGCGCGTTTACACCGGTGCTTTTGAATCAATGACGACGATACTCGGCAGGCAGAGGCCCGCAGCTCAGGTCGGCAGGTCCTTCAGCAGGTCCCGTATGACCAAACATTACCCAATATATCAAGAGTTCTGAGGGCATACTAAATTGCGAACCGCTACAAACCAGAATGATTACCTGATATAATTTTTTTTTTTTTAAAGTTGAAATCAGATTGTGAGCAATACACAACAAATTATCACTGAAGGAGAATCCAAGACTAATGCCATTCAAAACTCACCAGTTTTTGCCGTATGCCAGCAGGACACGCGCACGAGACGACGATCAGTGCAAAAAGGACGCGAAAAGCTCAGCCGACCCTCGGAGTCCTGATTGGTCGAGCCGGTGCTGGTCACGTGACAGGTCACAGTGCCATTTCCGGTGACTCCCGATTGGTGGAGAGGGCACTGGTGGTCGCAGATCACATGACGTCACATCCGGTTGTACGGTATTTCGCCAAAATGGCCAGGAGTAGATAAAGCAATTAATGTCACCGCTTAACTATAAAAAATAAAATAATAATAAAAAATAAAGGAAAATGAAAAAGAAAAAAAAAGATCGGTGACTGAAGCTCAAGCAAATGAGAATCGACCGAAACGAGTTCCAACGCTTACCGTATCGCGCTTACAAATACGCTGCAGCGTCAGTCATTGTGGCCATCGAAGATGGCCGGTAGATCGTAATCATAACCAAAATAATCCCGGAAATGTCTTTGGGGGCGATATTTAGCAGGCGGTGGAGTAGCCATGCTCAAATTCACACTTTTCATACTAAACTCATTTTTGCAACACTTTGTGGAACTATACTCATTTTATAGAAATTTACAAATGCTAAAATTTTTGCATTACGCTTTCGAATTTTCGATTATTTTTTACGGCTGCCAGCAAGCTCAGTGCATGAGACAAACAGCTGAAAAGGTAAAATTATTTCAGCAGTGCACATATTTTCACCAGGCTTCACTTTTTAGCATGTACTTTTTGTGACATTTTTGAAAAAAGCATTCAATCATTTTTCAGACCAAAGTCGCTTGACATTTGGCGATGGGCGTATTTGCAACTGTTGCAGTAGACCTTCGGACGCACTGTGTATTTTTTTTATTTTTGTTCAAAATAACTTTGGCGTAATGCACATTTTCCAAAACTATACTCATTTTTTGCGTATACTCATTTTAGGCTCACTACCCTACCCATGACTGAAACCCCACATTACTTCTGCTGTGGACTGTACCACAGGCCTGCCAGGGTCCAGGGGCACCACAGGCCTAGCAAGGGCACCACGGGCCTGTCAGGGGCACCTCAGGCTCCCGTGCCCCCCCACCCCCCAGATCCGCCAGTGATGCCACACCACGCGAAACACCGCCAACTACCAGCTGCCGCGCCATAAACACGTGCCAACAACAATCTTTTTTTTTAAGGTCGACTCCGCTCGCGCAACTTTTGACTGACCCTCACTGCTACTATATTGCTTCCATATTATGCTGTGGAAAGCTTTACTTCACCAAGTGGCTAAAAACCTCCATCAAGGTATATTTTCTTAGCAATTTTTTCTGGCGTTTTTTTTTGGGGGGGGGGGCCAAACAGGCCACTTTAGGCCTTTGGGGGGCCATGGCCCCCGTGGCCCCCCTGGATCCGCCAGTGCATACTACCACAAACCAGACAAGACAACACGGGTCGTGCTCTTCGCAATGCCACCAATCTCACACTCCCAAACAACAGAACATCACTTTTTAAACAATCTTTTATTCCTAAGACGACCAGAGATTGGAACATTTTACCAGAATCCATCAGAACCGATCCCAGCCTCAAATCCTTCCAACGAGCGATAGAGACCAGACTTTGTGCAGGGACCGTCCCACCATATAATAATACTGGATCAAAGTTTGGAAACATTCAGCATGCAAGACTTAGGTTAAACGCAACTGTCCTAAAAGCTCATCTCTACCAAATCCAAAAATCTTCTCCCTGCTGTGAGTGTGGGAGCCCAAAAGAGACTGTAGCACATTTCGTTCTAAATTGTCCCCGTTTCCAAGTGCTACGCTCTGAACTTTTCGGACAAGTTTCAATAATTATACCCATATTTAACAACTGTAACAGCGTATCTAAACTTAGCTTATTGCTGTATGGTAGAGGCCTCAACAAAAACGATCAGATCAAAGTAGCGAAATTATTCCAAAATTATATTATCAAAACTAAAAGATTCCAGAACCAATAGCATCCAGCGGCGGACGGCGGGCCGGACGGTTCGTCGTGTCGCCTGGGGGTAGCAACTTTAATTTCAACCAGCGAGCGGTGGGTGTGGCGCGGCTTGGCGGTGGTCAAACAGACTTGTTTTCATATTATGTTGTGTTTTTTATGTAATACTCATGTTTATTTTATACTGATTGATTAAGAGAGGTGCTTTAATTTAAGAATTTTTATTCTTTTGCACCAATCTTATAATATTTTTGTGTATGTTTTGCTCATTTGTAATGTTGAAAATAAATGTGTATGTGTATGTATATGTATGTACATTAATATCTTTTATGCTTTGGCAAACATAGTCATAGTTGATGCAGTTTCCAGTTCATATTTCATAAGTCCCAATTCCATTTTTGAATTTTAATATTCCAGCAGATTGGGCTACCTATTCTATAGCATACTGATACTGGTCAGTCTTGCTTCAATTTCTTACCTTGTCACCTACAACATGGAATAAACAAGTTCTAAGTGCTAGCAATCCAGAAAACATTTCACCAAATGTTTGTACGGATCACTTCCATTCAGTTTGCTGTACAGCACCTAGCAATATTTTGAGCTGTAGAAATCAAATACCAATAACATATGTAGGTAAGTAGGTATGACTGAAATCCATTTATAGACATTGACATACCAAAGTCACTATGCCCACCGGAAATCAAAGTTCATGTTTGATATTCAAATGCATTTCATAACTCAAACAGCTTTGAAATTATTTCTATCACGGCCAGAAGACAACTCATAAAACCAACATGCCCTTGCATAAATCCATAAAGCTAAAAATGAATCCAAGGCATTCTCCAGAAACCGTAGTATTGATCAGATTTTAGCCAACTGGCGCCGCATGGTGGCGCTAGCAGAGCGTATTATACATATAGCGCTCTACTAGCGCCATCATACGGCAGCAGCTGACAAAAAACTGAGTCAATACCAATGCCCTTCTCCAAGGCCAATGATTCCGTGTTGATGTGAAAATGGCGCATTTGAGCGTCATATATGCTATACCTTACGCACGCTAATCTACTGCATAAGGGTTACAATTTTGGAACACGTTCGGGAAGAAAGTCTCAGAACCCTTGGTATTTATTCTATGTCTAGGTACTAACAACAAAATGTAGTTTGTTTTCTACGTTAATAAATTGGCACTTAAGTCATGATCGCAACCTACTTAACCAACTTGCAGTACTTAAAAGTTTATTGCCATTACGATTTTGCAGTACTTTAACCCCAACGAAATTTTGCAGTGATTTAACGCCTGTTTTGTCCTTGCATTGCTATCGTGTCGACATTTCTGGCGAACCTCACACAGTTTTCATGTTTCTATTTTGATTTTGAATGTTTTATCATTTGGGGCCTTTGATAGTTGATAATATTTGTAAGGACTAATGAATTTAATTCTAAAAACGAATATATTTTACCAAGAATATTAGAAAAGGTATGTATCAGTATGGTTATCTTGTTCCATGTTGATGTTAGGTTCTTGTTCTGACTCTGGTGAAGGCACTGGTCCATGGATCCCCAGTTCACATCATTTTTAGCAGCTGTAGTAAAAATGGCTTAGGTTAGCATGAAATTCATTGGTCTACTTACTTCTTATATTCTTAAATATGACCTGAATCTGGTTCCAAAATACAAACTGTGAAGCGAAGTGAAATGACCATGGCATGAGTTTTTTACTTTGCAACACAAGTAGGTATGCCCAGTTGGAAAGAAACTATTTTCTTTTGCTATACCTACAACTGTACACAATTTTCATAATGAATTTCGGGAACGGGTCCATCTGGTTCCAACGCTGACTTCGACCGGGTCTGACCGGTTCCAGAAATGTGCCAGTCAGACCGGGTCCGGGTCCGGGTCCCAAAATTTTCCAGTTTTGCCACCTCTAACCCTAAGCGAGTTTTAAGCTATCGCGAAAAGCCCTATGAGGCGGCACCCGCCCCACCCCTTCTCGGCCGACAAGGGTTAATGTAGGTACTAGTTCATGTACATGTATGCGCAGATATAGTATCATCTCAGCTAAAATATATCTCTAATTCATGTTCGACACATTCTAGTGTTGTTACAAATTAACTCATTATATTTTCAATTTATTTGACGTTTATGCCTGACGAATATTTATTTTTCAAAAAATAGGTGCTATCTCCAAAATGGAAATTTTTCGGATCTCGGGGACCACACCATCGGATTCCTTGCAAAATTTTGGTCCAGAAAACACTAAAATTGGAGATAGGTATTTTCAAAAGTTATTTACCGTCTTTTGGGGCAATGTGCACGATCAGCCAGGGAGACCGGGCCGCGCGGCCCCACCGCCACCAGTTGGCGCCCCCTCGTGCCACTGTGTCTCCACCCAGCAGCCGGACGCAGAGCGGCGTGTCGGCGTCGTACTGGCGGAACACGGCGGGCACCTGAGCGGGCAGCGCCTGTGTGGGTAGCACAGCTAGCACGCGCACCCGGCGGCCAGCGCACCGCGGCGCCGCACCTGCACAGCACGAACGCCAGCGTCTTACCGCGGCCGGCCGGCGCCGAGACGCAGAGGTCGGCCGGTGGCAGCGGCGACTCTGCGGCCGCCAGCAGCTCGGGTAGCACGGTCACCTGCACCAGGAACACCTGTTCGATGCCCTCGGCGGCCAGCCGGGCGCGCAGCTCGGGGCAGAGCGCCGGCAGATTGGCCGGCGCCGGCCGCCGGTCGCCAATCGGCTGCGGGTGCGCCAGCCAGTCGGGCAGCGCACGCGGTGCACGGCCTGTCGGCTCGAGCGCTCCACCTCGTCCAGCACGGTGAAGTCGTCAGCGGCGGCGTCTCCGTCCGACTCGGAGGTGTCCTCACTGTCGTTATTGGCGACGGCGGCTGCCGCTGTGCGCTCAGTCAGGTCGGCCATCACAGCAACACTCGCCGATGATTGGCGTCATCGAAACCATCGGACGACGGTGGATTCACCACCGTTTTTGCAGCAGAGGCTGGAAAAACCTCAGCAATAAACAAGGAAAAACCTCACAACATGCCACAGCCTGCAATTGTGCATATTGTCATTATATTTCTCACATGACAGAAAATATTGGCTGCTTTATTCTAGGAACTGGCATGAAAAACATAAG